ATCCTTCCGCCTCAGCCTTCCAGGTAGCTGGAACTACAGGCGCGCGCTACCATGCCCAGCTAGTTTTTGATTTATTGTACAGATGAGGTCTCACCAAGTTGCCCAGGCGAGTCTCAAACCCGCGGGCTCAGGCCGTCCACTCACCTCAGCCTCCCAAAGGCGTGGGATTATAGGATGAGCCACCGAGCCCGGCTGAATCTTTTTTTTAACAGTGCCACTACCCAGCTGAAGCCCTCAGGCCGCTGGGGCCTGGCCGGCCTTTCCTGGTGCCTGTCCTCTGGTTCCAATTCTTGCCATTCCTTGTTCAATACTCCAGCCATACTGGCCTCCTCTTGTTTCCTGAAACCCTCGGCTTCTGCCTCAAGGTCTTTACACTTGCTGTAGCCTGTCTAGAAAGCTCTCCCCCTCTTATCCTCCCATACCTGCCCTGGCTGGCTCCTCATTATTCAGGTCTCAATGCTAATGTCCTTTTCTCAGAGGGGCTTTCCTTGACAACCTGGCTAGAAGCTCCCACTTCCTGTCACAACTCTGCAGTCTTTACTACCTAAAATTACATTGTTAGTTTGACCTCATCCATGTAGTCATCAAATATTTATTGAATTCATAGCATGTGCCAGGCACTGATTCAGACACTGGGGATATACTGGTGAACAAGATAAAGTTCTTCACTAGCTGTAGTTCCTAGGACTAGCTTAATGTTTGCTGGTCAAGTGAAGGGATACAGCAGTCTTATAAAGAGGAGTTATAGCCAGGCTCGGTGGCTCAGCCTGTAATCCCGCGCTTTGGGAGGCTGAGGTGAGTGAATTTCCTGAGCCTGCGGGTTCGAGACCCGCCTGGGCAACTTGGTGAGACCTCATCTCTACAATAAATCAAAAATTAGCTGGGCGTGGTAGCGCGCGCTTGTAGTTCCAGCTACTTGGAAGGCTGAGGCAGAAGGATCACCGGAGCCCAGCAGGTCGAGGCTGCGGTGGCTGGGAGCAGCCACTGCACTTCAGTCTGGGCG